CCCCCCGCCCCCAGCCACAGGACACAAAGTGAGCTGCTTTGGGGATCCGTAGACTGCCCTCAGCAGGGGCTGAGCGAGGCTTTGGGTGGCCCAAGCTTATGCATTTTGGGACCCCTGTTTAAGAAAAACAATACGAAATTACAAGTTCAAAATTAGACTCTGGGACTCAGTAAAGGGCCCAGCAGCCAGACTTAATGAGCTTCTTGGAAAATCCACTTCCTTTCCTCATGTCCAGGATCATAGGAGTCCTGGCCTGACCATCTGGGCCAAGAGGGCCTGGAGGGTATTGAGTTGTAGGGCAGGTGATTCCTGCAGCCCAGAGAGAGGAGCTGGCTCAAGGCCTTGCAGCAAGCAGGGAAGAGCTGATGTGGGCCTGAGCAGTTTCACCGCCCTCCCCCAGGGAGTAAAACTTTCTTCTATGTGGGGCCCTGGTCTGGCTCCCTGTGAACCTGGGCCCCAGGCCCTGTCCTATGAACCTGACTCTAAGCCCAGGAAATCCAGGCCTTGGTTTATCCCTCAGGACCAAGATCCAGGCCAATCCACCAGGATGCTCTGTCTCTGAAGGGGATGGTCAGTCTGCACCTGTCCCCTTCACCTGGGCCCCACTCAGGAGGGTCAGCCCAGCGGTAATGTCCCTCTAGTCTCTCATCCTACAAAGCTTGTCTAGACCGATTACTCCCATCCCTGAGTCAGAGAGAACATGAGGCCCAGAGAGGGGAAGTGGCCTATCCGAGGTCACACAGCAAATTTCAGCAGCAGTGGGATCTGAACATCCCATCATGGGCCCCCTGGCACCTTGGGTGGCATGCCCTAGGCACACTCACAGCCTCTGCTCTGTCCTCGGGCCACCCTGGCCCTCCACAGGCCCCTACAGAGAGCTCATGTGCAGCGTGTCCGACTTCGCCCCAGCTGAGGGCTCTTGGGGTAGGAACTGCTGTTCCTTGCCAGCCACATGGCTGGGCGGCCTCTCCTGCCTGCTGGTGCCAGGCCATGTGATCTGGCTGACCCGGCCATTTGCCTCCTTCTCGCCCCCCTGCTGCCCCGCCCCCTCCTTCCCACCCTCTTCACCATCCCCTTCCTCCTCTCCCTCCTCCTCCTCTGTCTTCTCCAGAGGCCCGGCCGGGGGCTCCTGGCTTCGCACGCGGCGGGAAGGCCGGAGCAGGACCCTGCGGAAGCCCTGCTTGAAGCGGTAGGAGAGGAAGCCATACAGGATGGGGTTGGCGCAGCTGTTGGCATAGGGCAGCGCCACCACCAGGAAATAGAGGCCGAAGAAGGCGGGCTCCTCGGGCAGCGGGCACACCACGTTGATGATATTGAGCACGTAGAAGGGCATCCAGCAGAGGACAAAGAGTGCCACCACGGCCACCACCATGCGGGTGACTCTGCGCTCGGAGCGCCGTCGACGCTGGCACGAGGGTGCCCACACCCGCCGCCCTGCTGAGCGCATCTTGACCACTATGAGCAGGTAGCAGAGGCAGATGACCAGAAGCGGCCCAAAGAAACCCAGCGCGGCGGTGTAGATGATGAAGCCCGCTCGCCAGGCCGCCGCTGGCTCGGGCCACTGCATGTGGCAGGTGCTCATGCCCCGCGGCACACCCGAGAAGACCACCACGGGCAGCACCACCACGGCCGAGGCCACCCAGACGGCCGCGCTGACGGTGCGGGCCACGGCGGCGGTGCGCCAGCGGGCCGAGCGCGTGGGATGCACCACGGCCAGGTAGCGGTCCACGCTCATGACCGTGAGGCAGAAGATGCTGGTGAACTGGTTGATGCCGTCCACGGCCATGACCAGGCGGCACATGAGGGAGCCGAAGGGCCAGTAGGACAGGGCGTTCTGGGCAGCCAGGAAGGGCAGCCCCAGCATGAAGAGCTCATCGGCCAGCGCCAGGTTCAGGATGTAGACGTTGGTAACCGACGGGCTGGCCGTGTGCCGCAGGACCACGTAGATCACCAGTGAGTTGCCCAGCAGGCCCACCACGCACACCACCAGGTAGACCAGCGGGATTAGCACGCCGCTGACGGCCAGCCCGGCTGCGCTCGGGGCCGCCGACACGTTTCCCACAGTGGCATCCAGCAGCCAGGCCGAGGAGGTGTTCCCGGGTTCCGAGGTCGTGGGCGCCGATGAGGGATAGCCGAGGGTGTTCATGACTGAGGGGAGGCGGTCAGCGGTCAGCTACTGGCCTGCAGGAGGGGGACACAGCCAGGTCATGGCAGAGCATGGCTTTCTCTCGGCCGCCCCTCCCTCATCACGCTGAACTTGTGCTTGGCCAGAGTTTGACATGCACTAGCTCATTCACTGCAAGGCCAGCAAGGTATCCCCACTTCTCAGATGAGGAAACTGAGTCTCAGAGAGGTAGAGTGACCACCCTGTATCGCCATAGTTAAGGTGTGGTGAGGAACGCGGGCTTGCCTGACTCCAAAGTGCAGGGACCAGCGCTGGTCTGTGTCCCTTTGCCTGTGCCCAGGGTGAGTGCTACACAAATGCCCAATAAAGGAAAAATAGATCATTCAATCAGTCAGTGACAACATAGGCCCTTTCCTTTACACCACTGCTTTTCGAATATCTTTTTTTTTTTTTTCTCTTTTAAAATATGTCTTTATTGATTTCAGAGAGAGGAAAGGAGAGGGGGAGAGAGATAGAAACACCAATGATGAGAGAGTCATGGATCGGCTGCCTCCTGCACGCCCGCCCGGGACTGAGCCTAAACCCAGGCATGTGCCCTGACCGGGAATCAAACCAAAATCTCCTGGATCGTAGGTCTATGTTCAACCTCTGAGCCACACTGGCTGGGTGCTTTTCAAATATTTTTCATGCTAGTGCATTTTACTTAGCAACCCAATGAAGTCATAGTGTTTCATAAAACACCACTTGCCCTTTCTGCTTATGATAGTCCAGCCAGCAGAGCCCCAGGTGGATCACCCATTCCTACAGGCTGAATGTGTCCCCCCACCAAGTTCATATATTAAAATCCTAACCCCCAGTGTGATGGTATTAGGAGGTAGGACCTTTGGGAGTTGATTATGTCATGAGGGTGGGGCCCCCATGAATAGGATTAGTGCCCTTATAAAGGAGACTCCAGAGAGCTCCATTGCCCCTTCTGCAAAAAGATGACTATCTATGAACCAAGAAGCAGGCCCTCACCAGACACCAAATCTGCCAGCACGTTGATCTTGGACTTCCAGCCTGTAGAACTGTGAGAAATAAATTTCTGTTGTTTGTACATCACCGAGTCTACAGTAATCTGTTATAGGAGCCAGAACGGACTAAGACACCCACTGAAAAGTCTCAGCCCTCACATTTGAAAACTGCTGCATATCACAGGTTTTTAACCTTGAACTCAGGTCTCTAGATGAACTTTAGAGCATCCATGAACCCCGAAAACTCTGAAAGAGCAGAGCTTTCATCAGATTAAGAACCACAGGCTCAAGGGTACCCCTTCTCTTGGGAGTCAGAGCCCTTGGGGACTTTTTCTGCCTGGCCCATCCCACTTCGCCCCTGCAAAGACCCTGCCCAGGATGACTGGCTGTGAACCTTGGGGGTGGGCAGCTGGGACCCCTTCTCCCCCCAGAGGGAGACTTGTGATAGAGAAATTCCCAACACACTGGAGGTAGGCACAAGAACAGCCACCTCCCCCCCAGCACCGGCAAGCCAGGCTGCCCTGAGAAGACATTCCAGACGGGTCCTGAAGCATCAGTAAGAGCTTGCCCACCGGCACGGAGGGAACCAGCTTACTGTGTTAGCACCTTTCACATCACACCTCCCGTGCCTGATGAGGAGCTGGGACTCCTCCTGGCTCCCCTGCTAGGCTGACTCTCCTTGAGTGTGGAGACACTTACTCAGCTTTGAACCTTTCTGGCCTCCCTTTCACACAAGCACGAGCTCTGCGTCAGTGTCCGAGGCACCGTCCAAATGAATCAGAGGAACGAGAGTGGACAAATCTTAACACAGAGGAAATAATGAATTGCTGAGAGTGGAAATCCAGGCCCCTCTGGGAAAGGCCCTGCCTCAGGATTTGCTGGCCTCCCTTAGCATGACTCCCCAGCTCTCAAGAGGTCCAGTTGGAGAACAGAGCTGAAAGCTGGAGCCTCCTCTGTGCCTGGACCTCCCCTTCTTCCTAAAAAGCCTCCCAATATTCAATATCTTCCAGCCAACCCAACCCCAGGCCTGCAATGCCTCTAGTGGGAACCTGGGGTCTGCATTGCCTTATCAGGACACCATTTTCCAGATGCAAAGCTCCCAGAAAGGGGAGGTGCCCTAACTCGGAGCAAATATGCTTGAGTGCCCCTACCAATGACCTGGGTTTCCAAGGGTTCTGAGCACCAGGCAGGGCAATGCCGAGAATGGCAAAGAACTCCTTGGCCGTGGCTGGCTCCTCCTGATGAGACCCCAAGCTATCTGGGCTCAGAGCACCCCCTCCCTGCTCTGCCAAGCCCAGGGAGAGACCCCTAGCCTGTCCTCAAGCCACTCATCACCCCAGGTCCTCATTAGCTCTCCTGAGCCGGGCACAGCATCACTAAGGGAGGGGCTCTCTGAACAGTGGGCTCATGGAGTCCTAACAGTGTCACCAGCTCCTTGTCACAGCCCAACTGCCAGGTTCCTGGCTAAACTGGTGACGTGCTGCATCCTCTGGGTCCTATGAGAAAGGCATTAGTGTCTGTCACTCCCAACATACAAACAGTGAAGAAAAGTGAGGCCACATGCTCTGGTCACATAGCTGTGAAGGGGCAGGGCTGAGAGGACCTTTAAGACCATCTCCCTTCCACCCCCACTTCACAGGCCTGCAGACTGAGGCCAGGCCTGGGGAAGGCACTTGCCTACATGTCACAGAGGGTCAGGGCACCCAGCTGGCATCCAGCTCTCCCACCAGCCTATTCAAAGCTCTCACTGCTCCTCAGGACCTAGAACTATTAGGATCATAGATCCAGTTCCCTAGACTCTTGGAGGCCTAGAAATAGAATTTCAGATTTTTAGAACGGAGTTGTAGAGTCACAGACTTCTGATCAGTGTTCTAGAGTCAGAGAACGTTACTTCTAGAATACCAGAACCAGCCCTCCTTAGGCTTGGAATCGTGGGATCTGGGGCCTTAGAGTTCCAGCTTCCTCGGCCAGGAGCCCTACATCACCCATCCATGCACCTTACCCCCCTGTTCACAGATCCTCTTTATAGCATCCCCACCAGGTGGCCAGTCCAACCCAGTGATGCAAGAGGGAGGGGAGTGCTGGGCTCCCAGGAGAGGAGCAGTGAGCTGGGCAAACTTGATTGCCAAGCTGCAGGGAGATGCCCCCAGGGAAGCCTGGGGGTGAGCTCTGAGGACAGCCTCCCTCCTCCGCGATCACACACATGTGCACCCACCCACACAAGCAAATGTGCTAACACACACAGTCCTGGTAGAATACAGGGGTACCAGGCCCTGCCTTTGTACCAGAGATGAATGATCTCACAGAGCCCCTGGCCCGTCACAAGACCCCTGCCTCCACCCTTATCTGGGCCCATCTCCCCTGTCAAAGTTCTACGGGCCAGGGTGCCAAAAGCAGGGAAATAAGAGTTTTCTGGGGACATCAGCCAGACCTGCAATTTAGGTGCCGCCTTTTCTTTAAGGAGCTGGAATCCTGTGCATGATCTAGTTCATCCTGGGGGAGGAGGGACTCTTCCTCCCTGTCTGGTTTATCTTTGGCACAGCTTACCAGAAAGCTGGGGGTGGACTCCTCAGAGGAGGAGGGGGGATGGAAGCCCAGAAAGGGTGAGCGCCTGCCCTGACCCCCACACAGTTCAGGACAGAGCTCCAGGGATCCCAGACACCCCAGGGGTTCTGCATTTGTCTGTCCCCACTCCCTGCTCCTCTAGAGTGCTAGCTCTCGGGTGCAGGGACCCTGAGCTATTTATTGCTTTAAGCTCAGCACCTAACAGAGCACCCAGTACATCGAAAAATATGAAGAGACCAAGTTCAGCGAGTAGAGCTCCAAGTGAGGCGGGTTGTTGCTCCTGGGCAGAGGCCTCAAACTCACATTATGAAATCCTCGCCGAGCCCACAAGGGAGGGTTTTTAGAGAAGAGGAAGTTCAGGCTCAGAAAGGTTCAGTAACTTGCACAGGTCATTCAGCTGGTTAAGCGGAAGGTCAGAATTTGAACCCAGTTCTGTCTACTCTAAACCATCAGTACCCCTGGCCCTACAGGCTTCCCTGAAGGCCTGGAGCTTAAAGGAAGCAGGGACTGAAACAGCCCTGGGCAATGCAGGCTGATGGCCCCTGGCCAGCTGAGTTCTGTTTTGCCCTCAGCTGCCCTGGGCCTTTCCCCAACAGGCCCCAGATTGCGCTAGTCCCTGCCAACTGAGTCACTCCCACCCTGGGCCTGGTATCTGGCCCCCAGGAACCACCCCACAAGCCCTACGTTGGGGTTAGGCTCTGCCACAGAGCAATGATGCCAAACTGCTGTGTGACCTTGGGCAAGTCACTTCCTTCCTCTGAACCTCAGTTTCCTCCTATTAAAATGAAGACAAGAGCACCCACCTCCCAGGGTTGCTGCGCAGATTACACGGGAGTGTGCAGAGCTCGGTGCCCAGCACAGACAGGGAGCCCAGGGAAGCTGGCGCGTGAGCTGAAGGGGCCACACAACATGATGCATCCAGCTTCCTCCAGCTCCCACACTCTGCCGCACTGTGCTTCCACGATTCTAGAACTGGGTACAAAATTCCAGGATTAATGTTCCCCCACCCCCACAGCCCACCAAGAGGTCACAGGAAAGCCTTTCTCCTCCCTGGGCCTTCCCACCCTCTCCCAGTCGCCAGCCCCAACCTCCCAAATTTATCCTGGGCAGCCGGTGGAAGGAAGGGCTCCAGGACCCCATCCTCCAGGACCCCCACCCGGTCCCAGCCTCCTTACCTGTCCGTGGGGCGAGGGATCCCCTCCTTGCCGCCAAGCTGGTTATCATTCTGATGTCCCCTCTCCCTGCACAGTCCCCAGCTGCCCGCAGAGCGCCCCTTAGCCAGGGTCCCCACACAGTGCCCACTTCGAGACTGCTTGCGGCCCGGGCCCCCTCCTAGGCCCGCGGTGGCCACATCTGCCCACCGAGCCTCTCCCATCTGCTCTCCAGCCCCGACTTCCCACTGGTGCCTGGTGCGTCACCCTTCATCTCCAGGACATGTCCTGCAGGGTAGGGACACAGATGAGGGTCTGCAGGCAGGAGCCCAGGGTGGGGATGGAGGGAGAAGCCTCCCAAGGAAAGAAGAGAAATGGGGAACAGGGGACTATAAGGAGCCAATAGAGATAGAGGGAAAGGGGGGGTCGGTCGGAGGTGGAATGAGAGGAGAGGACAGTGAGTGGGTGGAAAGCCAGAATGAGGGGGAGCGATGAGAAATGCGTGACAGGGAGGGGAGAGGAGGAAAGAGGGCGAGAAGGGAAGAGAGGGAGAGATGCGGAGAGAGGCAGGGATGGGGAGCGGGGAAGGGAGGAGAAGGAGGGGTGGCAGAGACAGTGACAGAGAAGGATTGTGCCACAGATGGTGACATGGAAAGCCAGGGAAG